TAATAATTAACTATAATAAATTTAAGTGCTTGTTACCAAAATGTAGCCCGTGAAATTCTGCATCGAATGGTATATAGAACATCTTTTAGACGTGGTGAAATAACGTAGAAATTAGCCAAATACTAAAAGTTTGCTAAACTTTTTTCTTTACTATTTTTTACAGTGTTTAGTATTTTGGCTATAAAATCGTTATTATTCAATGAAAATTAAAAACTTTTTTTACCAAAATGATCAGCGAAAAATTCTCTACAAACTCTGATATGAAAGAAAATCTTCAGACTATCCTTTTTACTCATTTATGCGTAAAAACAAAAAAGTACATGCTTTTTACGGCCCGCACTGTAGGAAAAATGTGAAAAAAATATTCGAGGAATTGAAAAGATTTATCTATCGGAACTGATGAACCTAAAAAGTTCAACAAAACTGCTTGGATGTCAATGTCTAGAAAACCAATATAAGTTTTCTGGCATCAATGTGGAGTTTTTTCGAAATGGTTTGATAGAGCAAATAATTCTGAGTAAAATAACATATCTCGGCTCTGCATATGACGCTTCTTTATCAAACTGCGTTGAATTTTCAAAAGATCCAACAAGAATTTTTCTATTGTTTTTATGAAAAATTTCAATGATTTCGCCATGCTTGATGCTTTGTAGTCTTCAATAAATTGAATGTAGTTTAATGAAGAAAGGTCATGATGAAAACTAAAACATCTGATTTTTCTCAGAATTATTTATTCTATCAAATAAAATCATTTCGAAAAAGCTTAAAATGGATGCCAGAAAACTGGTCTTGACGGATCTTGATTTATTCAGACATCCTTACCCTACTAGTTTTATTGAAGTTTTTAGATTTACCAATTTTGATAGAGAATCTTTTCAATTAGTCAAATATTTTTCAGATTCTTCTTAGTTATTTTCATTAAAAATAAAAATTAAAAATAGAACTGCTCTTAATCTCATGTTTGTCACTTTATTCTTAACCTTTTTTCTTATTTATACATAGCCGAAAGAAAAAGATGATGAGAAATGATATTCTAGAGGTAAACATATCGATTATGCAACCATTCTTTCACTTATACTTATATTTCGCTAGGTATTTAATTCGTTGTGTAGGATTATTTTATTTTATAACAGTGCACAGAAAAAAACTTCTCTTATCTCCTACATATGCCGTGTCAGTGTTTTCATATACTCATATAAACTATTTCGATGTACGCTCGTTCTATTTGCATTGGAGAAAAAAAAACACGATTTCATGCATCGATACGTATCTTTTTTCTATTAATGTTATGATATTTTATATGATGCAACTAGTTTTTCTGGTGAAACGCCTCTTGACAAGGGTTTCCGCTTCTTCTGCTTTTAGCAGAAAGATTTCGTTTTCATCATTTTTGTTATTGTTTATCAATATTCTTAGATTGTGTTAACTCATCTAGTCGAAAATGTTAGGGAAGACTCCTATCGACATCTGTTAACGTTTTTATGCTTATTCTTACTCTCTTTTGAGGACAGAATCTGTTTTACTTTCTTTTTTGCTGTTAGAGTTATATTTACAAGGCACATTGTCGCATCTATATAATTCAATAGCAGTTTACATATTTTTTTTTTTCGTCGATTAAACACCTTTTTAAATTAATTTTGAAAAACAGCAAACGACTATAAAAATAATCGTATATATTTCTAACGACTAGATTTCAAGTTCCAACCTTAAAGTGTGCAATAATATTTTTGTCTCCAGAAAAGTTTTAATTATTGTAACTTTTTAAACTGTTCAAACTTCTGGTATGTAACATGAAGTCATACCAAGGGGGAAACAACTGATTTAAATCACCCGCTAAATCAAAATTAAATCACTCTAAATCATGCTAAATCACTTGAAAAACTGATTTAAGATGATTTAAAATCATTTTTAAATCACCTTAAATCACCATAACTCACAAAAATCATAAATCAGTCACTTCCCCCTTGAGTCATACTTTATATTTGTCTTAGTCTTGGTTCGATTCAAGATCTTCACACGCAAGCAGATACTATGAGAACACGTCGGATGTGCAACACTTAGTAAGAGAAGATAGTTAAATTTGATCCAAATAGAACAGGTTTCAACAAACTCTGCTTTAAACATGATCCAATTTTATTTGAAAATTTTGCTACCTTAGAAATTTTTAAGTGTTATAGAATCGAAAAAAAAATAATGGTATTCTATTGATGATGTAATCATTATCAAGATTAATTTTAAATAACCACATGCATCTGAACCAGATGTTTCAAAAGTCTAATTGAAAAAGAAACGTGAATATCTCTTTAACTGTTCATGAGCATTTTTCGTCAGATTTTGTTCCTATAAAAAAATATTGAATCACGCTAACTCACCTGACTGTAATGCCCATTGAAATGAATTTTCTCTTCTATTCCACTTGCTTGGAGAAAATGCTCTCCAGAATTCGACAGACTTTGTCACTAAAATGCGGCAAAATTCCAAACTTTATGAAATGATTTGTAGTTCACCTAAATATCTAGTGCAGTAATTCTAATCATGGCATTTAAAATACTCTTTTATTTTAATGAAAATATTCAACTTGCAAAACAAAAGATATTTGTTGATTATATCTGTCAACGGGAATAGCAGGGCATTAACGACTATATTGATCAGATTTCAAACAGAGAGAGAGAGAGAGAGAGAGAGTAGAATAATATTTATGACTGCATTGCATAAGTAGTAAGCATATGTAATTTAGATCACTTCGACATTCGATATTATTATTGCATTCAGTCCCAAGTAGTTTTTCATTTTGATATATTGATCCATCGAAAAAAATTATGCAGTTGGCACTGACAACTAGCATTGATACAAGTTAAATATCGACTTCTTTGACAAGATGAACATGGTTGTTCTAGGTTAGCAAAGTCTTCTTGGAAGAACTTAATCGATCGGACAGGAGATTGATAAGATGAAGAAGCAATAATCGAATCCATAGTTTCTATACTACCTTCAGATATTAGTTATCGATATGGTTCACTATCAAAATCGAATAGCAGAGCTGGGCAAGTAGATACTTTTTCGAGTACGAGTACTAACCGTCCTGAGACACTGAAAAAGTTGTTAGCTCAATGCCTACGAAATTAAAATGGGGAGTATAATATAGTCATCATTGCTATTCATAAAGAATTCGTTTTAATCTATCTGTTTAGCGGCACATGTATAAGATATGCTTTTACTTATTCCTCTAGAAATGAAAGCCTAGGATGTCTGTTACAGTCTGTGATGAGGTTCCAGGGTATTTCACGTGATCATCAACGGATTTTTAACGACTTACTAATGTTATATGAATGAACTATGAATTAGATATTAATTAATTAAAATGTCTGTTACACTCAGTAGGCAGTGAGGATGAAGAAAGTGTTTTTTACATTTAGTCGTCCTGGTTTTTTTTAACGACTAGCACAGCTACCAATCTGAAAATTTTTCAGACCAGACCGAATTGACTTATCTATTGGTATTTACCGATCTATCGATACATACTAGTCTACCAGTAATAAATCGATTCTCTAAATCAAGTTTTGTTTCCTAGTGAACTCTCGCAAATTATCAACTTTGATCATAAATCTAAGATATCTGAACATTTGTTTCGTCATATTCAATATGCGCTTTTCTATTAAAAAAATAACAGTTATCGGAATATCAATGTATAATATTTTATTTCATCACAAAGTCATAATGCATTGATTGTTTTCAATACTTTAGCCTAAAAAAGTGTACGATTTCGTTATTGGCAATAATAATAATATAGTCATATACCGTTTACGATTTATTTAAAAGAAAATCACATATTGAATATTAGCTCATAAATATTCAGATGTTTTAGATTCGTGATCTAAGTTGATAGCTTGCGATAGCTCACTAGAAAGCAAAATTTCATTGTAACAATCGACCTATCATTGGTAGATCAGCATTTATCGGAAGACTGATCTATTTCGGATAGACCGGTCTGTTGTTAGTGCCAGTTCCATTTATGGATTGTGTCTAAATTTTTACTTTATATATTTTAGCAGTCCTTTCAGATCGTGTTTCACAAAAACGAGTGAAATAGTAAACAATTACTCTATTCGGAACTTTTCACATATCCTTATCAGGATTTATGAATGTCTAACGCATTATAAACCACTTTTACCTTATGTGAAAATCTTCATATAATTCTTTCGTAATTTCTTTGGGAGGCTTTATGAAAGGGTTAAAAAAAGAAATACTAACTAGAAATAGAGAGTTTTTTCTAAGCGACCGATTTCTTTTGTTTTAAAACGAAGAAAGAAAGACCGATGGATTACTTGAACATTAATCATATATATGACAATATTAATGGAGCATAAGGAATTAACAAAGAAAATAATGAAAATAGGATGTGGCAACCATTCGACGACTTTCCTCTTTATAAATGCTGAAATGTATATTTATATGGATCGAAAATACGACATCAGTGGTTCACTTCGTTTTTGATCAAGAAAAACAGAATAAATTTCCCATATGATATACCGTATGTCTAAACTGTTAAATATAACAGGCTCGAGTACTAATACGAGTTCTTCGAGTATTTTGCCGAGCTCTGATCGAAGTGCAAACTAATTTTTAGGCTAGTTCAATATTCATATTTAATCGAATCTTAAAGAAACTTAAAACTAATATTTCATATAGATATATATGCAGTCCTGAACAAATATAGCAGCCTGCTTATGAAGTGCTATGATTCTTTATAGTATTGAATTAATATTTTAAAGCATGAGTGCGACTATAAACCTTGATTGCAAAACATCAACTTGTCTTTCATCGATTCAAATGTACTGAATATATGATTCATACATGCTAAAAATATATCCAATGAAAAACTATGCGGTCAAAAGTTTTTTCTATCATTTCGCTATTCCGAAAGCTCCTACTGCTTTTTTTCTAGCACTCAAGACAATCCTGTATGTCTACTTTATTACTCACAAATCCCTTGACAAATAGTCAAGATCTCACGGGAGAAAATCTGTTACTGACTAAATGGAAGATGGATTGTTTTTTGTGACTACAAATTATTGTCGCAGTCATGTATCCAAAGTATAAGCTCAATATCAAAAACAATAGCAGTACTTCATGAAGAGCGGCTACTTTTGTTCAAAACTGTATAAATACAAATCAATTATCAAGACAAACAAGATTGGGTTCAACAACACCAACTTGATTAGAAGCAAATAATAATAATAATTGAACAGGTATTGACATCGGCATTTGTTTAGCAGATACGGCTCGAGTTTTTATCTTAATTAAGAAAACAAAAAATGACGATAGAAATATTGGTATTTCACATTCACAATTAACTGACTTTTATCTATTAATGCTTCTTTATCTTCAGTTGTTAATAGTTTTCGTTTTGATATATGAAAACAAACATTTGGATAGAGAGTATAACAAAGCAGTGATATCACTTTCAAAGAAATAAGATTACAACTAAATTAAATATTTCTTTCAAAAAGAACACATCCAATATTTAATTCGTAATGCGATTATTCAACATTCTTTAGGAAAACCTGACATTAATATTATATCTCGTAGTTGATTCTAAATTAAAACAAATTCAACTTTTAAATTCTTAATAAATTTCAAAGATTTTACTCATGCTTCATAGGGCATTTACATTGTTGATAAATGAAGACATTTACGATCACAAAAGTCCATTTTACCACATTCATCATTACGATTTCTCAAAGCACCAACAACGGTTTTCAATTAAACAAAAAAAGCTTTTCTTTTTCTTAAATACTTTTCTCTTTCATCTTGTTGAAATGTATTAAGTGAAGTAACATGATCAGAATAACGATTTCCTGCAAGATTTCGACACATATGACATAAATGTTGTCCATCATATAGAAATAATTCAGACAAAACTAGTTGCTGATGCTATTCTGCAAGCACCATCACCAACACTAAAAAAATTTTTTCACATGAAATTTAACGTGCGTTATGCCTTTGACGGTTTATTTACTTAGTAAATAAATCATTTTTATTATTGACACAAGAAACTCAGAAAAAGAAAAAGTTTTATTCATCCTTTTTTTTTTTGAAAAGAGCATATATAAAACATGGCAACTTTTCGTGTTTCCTTTCTCTATGATAAATATCATATGGTAACAATCAATGATAATCCTATAACATTACAAAGCTTTCGAAAAACAATCGAAAATGTTCTTCCACCATGTCGACAAATTGATGATTATTTTTATGTAGTTAGTGGTAAACCTCCTCATAAATTGAATATTAATAATGACGATGAATTTAATGAACATCGAACATTAATAACAAGTGGTTGTTACATATGGGCAAAATTAAAATAGCTTACCAAAAAATACAACCTAATATAATCATTTTACCAATTTTTGGTTCAATCAGTAATCATACTAAAAATTTTCCTAATGGTGTTAATTCATCATTTTCATCGATTGCTTGTATTTCTAAATTTCAATGTTTTCATTTTAATCAAAATAAAAGAAAAAACTAAAAATCTTTACCTTGAATAGGATTCATTGGTAATTGTTCAAGAGCTCTAGATAAAAATAATTTATTATAACCTAATTGTAATAGTTTAATAGTTAATGCAAGTTCATGTAATGATGTGTGAAATATTTCTGGTGACAAATAGTTCTCTAGATGTTCATAACGTGCTTGTGAACATCAATAAAAACAACAACCAGATATTGTTCGCCTAGCTCGATCACGTCTTTATGTTAAATTTGCTTTTGATGTTCAAACAATGACATAATTTCTCATATTATTACATGATAAAAATAAATTTTGTTGTATTTTTCAATTTTCAATTGAAGAAAACAACATCATCTATTTTTATACTTGATTTACCTACTGATGATCAGCCTTAGCATATTACGAAGTAAAATATTTTTCTTAGTCTAAGTATAACTATAAAGTTTTTCCTTTAGTTCTTCCTGTTTATATCATCTATGTTCTATTCTTCTTTTAAGATAGTCAAAAACAAAGATGACAATAAAATTTAAAACTTTCCCATGTAGTGAAAATCGGGAAATATCGGCGGTTTACCGCGATTTTACCGAACCGATTACTGCCTCCTTTAGAGCAATTAACCGCAGTTATTTCCGGTTAATCGATGTTTTTTTACGGAAAACCGCAGTTTACTGCTACAAATCAAGCAGTATTTGTGGCATGGGTGATTTGTCGATTATCTTCATTATCCTTATGATAATAAACATCGATTTTATAAAAATCTTGTCCAAAGTGTCCTTTATATCGCCGTGAAACTCATGTGCTCTTGATATGCATGCAATCGCTGGGTTGATTGAACCATGACTAAGTGCATCTCGTGCCGAAACTAAAAACTGCTGAAGAGCAGCATTTAACTTGTCCACTTCAAGTTCTAAATCACCAATCTTAAAGAAAATAGATGAATTATATTAAAAGACGATCATTTAATTACTTCGAGACTTCTTTCACGATTTTGATTGTTGCTTGATGCCATAATTCTATTCTCTGATTTTGTAATAAACGAAAGCAAAAAATATATACGTTCTTGTTTTATTTACTATTTAATATGATCGTTATCCTCAATAAGTCTAGAGTTTATTTAATTCAGATAATTTTTCTTCTTATTTCGATCGCTCATCTATATTCTAGAAAGTTAATATTTTTTTCATTTTTTTAATGATATTTCACATATTCATAATAACATTATCGGAAAAGACTGTTCTCAGAAACTGATAGATACTGTTCATATAAATGAACGTGATATAAATAGGAAATTTCCTATTGATTTTACTTCGTGATATGGTGAACTCTTGCCGTTAATCAAAAGCTATTCTTATATCTAAAGTTATATCAGCTTCAAATGATAATAAAGCTTATTTCATAGGTTTCATATTAAAATTATTTTAATAAAATTTTTATCATTATCATTATGTTGTCCATTAGAAAATAATATATGAAATGTACCAATAGTATAGCCAATATCTTCCAATCCTTTAAAAATACATTAAATATATAAGAGATCTTTTTTTTTAAAAACAATTGAACTGCTATCCGGATCAACCGAAATTTCATCTTTTAGTTTTAATTTCATTTTATCTGGTATAATTTTATTTAATCGAACCAAAGGATCCCCTTCACAAAATCGAATTTTTCGGAAAAAGCTCAAAGTTGAGTTTTTATCATAGGCAGATGCAGCGAAATTTCCTTTTCTCAGAACATATATAGCTGTATGGAAAATATTCCAATTTTAAGAGACTTTTGAAGCTAATTTCGACCTCCCCCTCCCCATCATATTTTTTCCAGAAATTTTCCTGTTTTTTTTTTAAATTGTTCTACTTTTAGGAAAACGGCTTTTTATTTGTTTTGGCATTGAGTAAATCATTAGATTTACTTAAATATGATCGACAGTGGTAGTTGAAATCATTTTTTTAATGCCCTTTAAAGAATTACACTGACACACATTATGAATATACCATTTTAGTATGGTTTTTTCCGGATTTGAATGGAAAAATTCATTTTTAAAACTTCTCTAGTGTTTTTTTCAAAACACGGCTTCCAGGCAAGAAAATTGAAATAACTCCTACTCTGCTCAGCGTATAACCGATGTCTGTTTTCGTTTTAAAGGTCTGAATGAGAGCTAATTTTTCATTGAACAAATTTTTAATACTTGATTATTGGACTGAGAAAAGTAAAATTTACTGTCGAAGGAATCACTTTTTTACGCTTATTTTGAATACCATGTTCACAGAAATGCTCATAAAAAATGAATGGAAGAGAGTTTCAAAATTTTGTCCGATGAAAAGTTGCGAACAGAAGCCAGTTTTAATTTGAAACCATCTTAAGCTCTGTACGTCTTATAACAATGAAGTTATTGTGATTCTCCTGAAAGCTATAAAAATAAGCCGAAAATTCTGTCTAGTAGGATATATCAGACTGAAATTTTTACCACAACCGTTTCTTACTAGAACCATTCATCCCTGAAAATCTCAACCCGAACGGCCGGTTCTAAGTGGTACATCAATGCTGAGTAGAGGCGCTCTTAGTAGCCAGTAATATTTAAGGATTTATAGGTACTACTACTTAATAAACATTCATAGCTATTTAATATCTATTACTAATTAAAAATTTTCAGCAATACTTGAAGCTTTTAATAGTTTGTTTTTATTGGTAATTTTTAATATTTGTCAAAAAGCTTCACTAACAATGTTGAAAAACCTTAAAAATCCATGTCCACGATCAATTTGAATGTTTTTAATTTTTAATGTTAATTATTCTTTTTTTACTCAATCGAACTTGAACATTAACCAAAGTTGCTTCAGTAAGATTAGTTTCAACTGCACATTGTTGAAACTCAATGAGTGTTGCTTTTCATAATTAGATGTTCAGCTTGATCATCAGTAGTTCATATTTAGTCAATATTTAATCTAGATTTTTTACTTGTTCAATAGTACTATTTAAAATATTGTTAATAAATTGTTATAGAATAGGACATGAGGTGAAAAATAGGCGAAGTATATTCTAATGCATGAAACCGACCATCTATAATAAACATGATATGAAATAATCTGACGAATATATTTCGATGAACACATTATAGTTCATTAATATTCTTCGACCTTGTCCTTTGAGATTCTTACTTTTTTTTTTGATCGATTAGGAGAAATGCTTTTCAATCTTAAAGTTCATTTACTTTTTTCGTAAAACTTAGCGATCTTTTTGGTTTAAATTGTAGACTTGGTCGACCAATGTTTCTCACTGATATGTTTATTCTCAACCAAACTCTTTTGAATTATATATTGAATATTTTCTGATTGCACTATAATTGATAAAACAACCGATCAGTTATCATAACTATTCAAGATTTCAATGTTCTTTATAACTATATGAATTCATTGTATATGATTTACACCTGCTACTTCTCTTCATGTTACAAAAATATTTTAACACATGTTAATTTTTCAATTATTCTACGGTGAAAAAAAAACTTTCACTCAGTTCGAATTCGTCATAAGTTTAATGGACAAAAGCATAACATATCTATAAAATACAATATTAATTAGAATTCACTGCTTCAACGCTATTTCGTCCAATGTTTTTTCTAGTTCATCACACTTCATATTAACTAGACACTTTTATATTACTTTTTTTTCCTATGTTTCACATGAAAATATCCATTGTCAACTATCTATTCTTAATAGATTACTTTAGTACACTCATCAAAAAAGCAAGAAAAGACAGACAGGCATAGTATGCCCTACTTAATTATGCGCATGACTGCAGAGATAAATATACAAGATAATAAACCATATTTAAACGGGTGTTTCCTCTTTGTATGCATATATATAATCAATATATATTTATGAAAACTTGACAGTTGCAAAAAAAAATGATTTGCCATTCACAAATGTGATGATTAAACCAACGACGACGGTCTCCAATTAGTGTCGTAGCGACAAAATATATGAAACCTAGAGAAAAAGAAAGAAGAGAGCAAAAAAAGTTAACGCTTGATTGACGTCGCTACTTGTAAATGCGCATATTACATTTGACTTTTATTTATTTCAGTTTATTTTTCTAATACCATAAATAGAAACTTGTACGCAGCTCAGTAGAGAACAACTCATTCGTGTATTAAAATAAATGGCCAAAAAATATTCAACAACTTGCGCCATAGCAAGTACTTTAACAATTATCGTTGGTATTGCTCTTCTAATCACTGGATCCGTTTTTGTTCATGACACAAGTGCTCTTCGAACTTCATGGAAAGAAATATATTCATTATCAATCTATAGTGTTTTGATTGGTATATTGACTATTATTTTTACAACTGGTCTTTTATATGTTGTTAATCGTAAATTTCCAGCATTAACAATAGTATTTTCTATTTTGATGCTGGTTGTTGCTATCTTCACTATAGTATGCCTAGTTGTCCTTGTAATAAGTCTTGGAGGTCTTCGACATCATACATACACAACTACTGAATATCTTCTTCGTAATTATTCGGCATCAGATACAGTTATACGTTCTCAACATATTGTTACATATATTCAATTATCATTTGAGTGCTGTGATATTAACCAAGCAGCCTATGAAAAAACTAAATTATTTTATGGACCAAGTGCTTTTGACTCGTGTTGCCTTATAATAGTTTCAGACTTTATTCAAGATACTATCATTACAACAAATAATCTCCCTCCAGACTTTACTAAAAGTACTCCGGTTAGGAAAGACACAATAAATGTACGTGGTTTTGCTGAGCCTATTTATTCTTATCTTCACAAACGATATGTTGCACTTATTGTTATTGACGCTTTTCTTATAATATTATTATTGATTAGTGCCATACTTGGACTTATTTCTGAGTATAATGCTCGAGCACAATATGAATTGATGTGAAATAAAAATAAAGCAAAACTATTTTCTTATGCTTTATATTAACCATTATCCGTAATGGGGAACATTTTTTTTTTCTTTTCAGTATTATTGATTGAAAGAAAAAGTTTAATTAATATTAAAAAATAAGTTTATTTTGACAAACTCAAATTAATTAGAGAACAAATGAATGTGCTTTATATGGAAGTAACAGTTGTTTAGCAAAACCAAATATGAAAACACTGTTTTTTTTAAAACGAACTAGGTTATTAATCATGCAAGAACATATATCATTAGTTGTAAAAGTAAAAATAAGAAAATTACTTTTGTTGACATGTGACATTTTTAATGTTTCTATTATTGTTCAAAGTTTCGATAAAAGTCGCAAAAAAAAACTACCAAATTTTTTTTCATTGAAGTCGAAGATATATTTTTAAAAAATGTTGTCTTTCTTCTATTTAATGATTGTATTTTAGTTGATCAATATCATTCAAACAGATTTAAGTTGTGCAAACTACTTTCGTTTATTGAAACAATTTTTAGCAAAAAAAAATAATATTTATATTAATAGAAAATACAGACGAAACATTTTCTCCAAGAACAAACGATTATTTGAATAAAGACTTTTCAATTTAGCACAATTGAGATATACTGCATCATTGGTAAAATTATTTGTTATCATTGTAAATAATTCGTATTTGATTTTGAGATTTGACAAACGAGATTGATAAGTATTTTTCTCGAAGGTGTTTTTATTCAGCTTAATATACATGTGCTATATTCAAGTAGATGATCATTAGACAAAGAAATATAATCCATGTTGACGAATGTCGTTTATCTTTTAGTGATTAATCATTACATATAAGAATTTGAGAAAAGAAAAACCTAGAAAAATGAGTTTGAATAATTGACATTCATAACAACGTAAATCAGCGGACGAACATTTTTTTTGAGCTCGGTCTAACTAACGAGGTAACTCTTTCAAATGATAATCTCCATTCCAGCTCATATTAATACTGACTGTTAGGATCCATGGTGTAGATAAATTCCTAAAAGTATTTGTGTCATTAGTAATTTCTTCTTGTGTAAGGATCATTCTATTAAATTTTCAGCCTATTACAGAATATTACGAGAAAAACTAAATCAAGGAATTGTAGTTTGAAATTTTCTTTGGAAGTAAAAAAAGTAGCACCAAAATGTCGCTCCCTATTTCTCTCTGATAAAAAGGTGCTGGAAAATTTTTTTTTTATACTAAATGATAGAGCTTTGTTTTCTCTTTCGAATTGTAAATAACTTATTTTCATAATACGTTTATAAACGACACGATGCAAGAGAAAAGAGATACATGATTAGAAAAATTTCTCACTTTTTCTACACAAGGACTGTACAAAATATCGATCCTTATACCTCTTCGATAAATAGGTTTTGATAAGAATATTTTTTTATTAGCTGATAGAAAGTTTATTTCTCTTTCAAACTGTGTATGATTTGTATTTGTCACGCTGTGGTAAATGAAACGAGACGAGAAAAAAAAGACATCCTCGCAAAATAAATTTGTAATTTTTTATACATTAGTTCATTAAAGACATATTGTAGATGACAATTAATTTTAAGGACCTGTCTTTTTACAAGGTGCTTCTAATGGGTCAACAAAAAATGCATTTACCGTTTTTTAACAAGTTCATATAAAAATTACAAATTTATTGCCCTAATGTTTCTTTTTTTCTTTCATGTCAATATATTGACGAATGTGTTGCAAATATAAATTATACACTGTCTAAAAGAGAAGAAAATTTCTTATTAACTGGCATAAAAATATTCCTTTCGAAACGTGTTTTTCGACAAGTTATCAAAGAAATATTAGAATCAACATTTTGCGCCATTGGTTTTGAATGTTACAAAAAGTGCAAATTGTTTTTAGGGATGCTTCTCGCTTCTGTTGTGTCGTTTCGTTTATAAATGTGTTATAAAAATAATATAGGGAGGAGGAAAAGCTCTATCGTTTGATTAAAATAATTTTCTTTCAACATGCTTTTATCAAAGAGAAATAGAAATCGACATTTTGTGCCATTACTTTTGCATCGTACGTCAGATTTCATAGTCTTCCTAATTTCCTGACAATATCAGCAAAAATCAATGGTTTCTTTTCAAAATGTTGTATATTCAAAAAAAAATCGAACATGATCGAATCATTTGAAAGAAACCAGTAGTTATGCAACTCTGTTTTCTAGACATAGAAGCATTCGTTTTTGCTGAAACTTTCAGCATATTATAGGAGCCATAAAATCTATTTAGACATAAAATTTTAGACTAAAATTCTTCGTAATTTCATACAATAGGCTGAAGATTCTGTAAAACGATCTTACCTAAAGAAGAAACTACTAATGGCACAAATACTTTTAGGACTTTTATCTGTATCATGGACCTTAACAATTGGCAAAATATGAGCTCGAACAGAGATTATCAGTTAGAATATTTTCCTCGTAAGAATCAATAATAAATTAATAGTAATGGAAATCAGTTTGAAAAGAATTCAATATTCTTTTGGTTTCGATCTTCATATATTGTTCCATCGAGAAAAACAAAACAGGCATCATAATAGTTTTAGTTGACTACAATAATATCAATTATTATCAAGAACATCATTTGATAAATTTGTAACTTGGTTATATAATGCTCGACTTGTTACAAGACCTATCATATGTCTCAGGCATGCAAATGTGTGACAAAGTAAGACTGAACACTCACAGCTTCGTTTAAAAGGAAAGGTATCTTACATCTTAAGAAAAACCTAGGCAATTTTATACGTGTATTCCAATGGAAAAAAGACTACATTCTTAGGAGAGACTGGTTGGGCAGACAGGAAATCTATAAACATTCTGAAAAATACGAGACAGAAACTTTTGAGGTAACGATGAATGTACATCTCTAATGAAGAGATAACGAAACAAAATACTCGTTAGCATCTTTAACGAATCCTTATTTACTTTTTTCATTCACAAAATGAAACAATATCAAGTACCGAAAAGATTGACTAGAAATACTCTTCAGTGAGATTCAACAATTCTCATCTAGAACGCAACAGTAAACTTTTTATGGCATTTATTCAATATCTGCATAATTCTGATGCAAAAACAACGATAATCAAGCAGAATTTTTCGATTTCATCAACAACTATTTCTCTCCATCAGAATTTTACAAAAGCACCCAAAATTATTGTCAGAGAAAAAATAATTGTTAAAAATAAAATGAGAGCACGACACTTCTTTTCTTTATTCACTATTTAAGTCTCTTAGTCAATTCATTGTGGACTGCACTGCTTTTTGATAAACCGTCTTTTTATTTTATTTGTCTCTCTTTACAGAAAACATCTTTTACAATATGAACCAAAACAAACTTAAAATAGCACTGCATCCAGCTACCAAAGGGGTTTTGTTCACACAGGCTAAAACATTCTGATGTTGAGCTGTTATCAAAGATACAAATTTTGGCGTAACACCTGAATTTTATTTCAGTCCTGTTGAAGAAATCCAGTTCTCAGCAGAAATGTCTTGTCGACTAGAGGATGCACGAATAATAGCTATCCCAGGAAAAATAATTCGATTCTTCGCTCATACCAGAAAAGCTATTGAATTTGGCACAATCGGTATAACTTGTGTCTGAAATTGATGGCATCGTAGAACAGTATTTGTTCAGTTAGATTCGACTGAGAAAAAGCTTCAGGATAACTGACACACACAAAAAAACACAGTGAACACAGCCCCTATTCTGAGTTTTCACAAGCTTCGAACAGAATTGGGTAGAATTTGATGGCATCGGATGGATTTCTACCGAACAATTTTGACCTGGAATCATTCACACGACCACTGCATTATAAACTTCACCAATTGTATTTTATGGGCACTGTCACTACTAATTTTCATAACAAAAATATGAAAAAGGAGAAAAAGAAGGAGAGCAGCATCAAATGGAGGGGAGGGAGGAGCATTCACATGCCAGGCTTCTATAAATATATATTCTTGTTTACATATTTTTATTAAAATATTAGACAAAAAATACAGATAATACCTTTGTAATCGTCAGAAAAGACTAAAACCACTAGAAAAATAGTAATGAGAACATATCCTCTGATCAGCTCACATATATTATTTGTCTCGAAGTTTTTCTACAAATAATATACTTGAATTTGATTAACAAACTATTATTTTGAAAAAGTAATCAAAATTTTCTTTGAAAGCCCCCACTTTTTCTTAAAAAACAAAAAAAATGACTTTATTCATTTCTCGACTACTTAATTAGATAAAAACATCGTTTTCGTTAAGCATTTAATCCAATATTTTCAAGAAAATCATCGATTAATTTCATTTTTTCTAGTGTTTCATCCATATCCGAACTATTAACTGTTGAAAATTCAGCCAAATAAAATCTTAAATCATCAATTATCGGTATGGTATCAGTTTCTTGTCGATCAACTACACTAGCAGCATCGTCAAGAACAAATTTTTTAAATTCATCTTGTTGTAATACCTATATAAACAAAACTCATTTTTCAATGTAAATTGAAAAAAATAACTCAATCGAACTTCTTCTAGATTATCACTAATAAATCGAATACATTGATGTTCAAGTTTAATTAATTCAAATAAACGTGCAAGACGAAGTATTGGCATGATGGATTCATTACTAAGTAATTTTGAATAAGTATTTCCACAAAGACGTTTTAAACCAGGTAAAAAAAGTTCATCAGCAATTACAAGTAAATCATCAACACAATCATTTGAAATCTATATTGAAAAAAAAAATAATAAAATAAAATTTTATATAACATTTTTTTTTAAATTTTACATCACAATCATCCGAATAAATATAATATAAAAGTGGAATAAAATGTTCTTTACGAATATGTTTTAAAATAACAGTTGATTTTTCATTATTTTGTTGTTCTGTATTTGGTAACATTTCATTAAAATGATTTTTAACAAGAGCTGAAACATATTCTGTTCTTGTACACATAAATGCTTGAT